CGTCAGCTAGTGCTCCTTGCGGCGGCGATGTTGCCGGCGTCAACTATTTCGAGTCGCTAAATTCAGTTTAAATTCGTCTCTCCTTTTATTATTTATAATTTTATCTGTGGTTTTATTGTTCTTGTTTTGATTGTAAAGTGTCCTTGAGTGTTTTGAAAGGCGCTTATAAATGTAATGTATTATTATTTATTATTATTAACTGCCTGTTCCACAAAGACAAGCATGTATGATGAATTGATACACATTTGCTTTTTTTCTGGGAGGCTTTTGTTTTGTGTTCGTTTAATCTTTTTTGATGGTCTACAAAGTTACTTTGTTTTGCAATTTCTTCCTGTCATTTCAGTACAAGGAGGCGTTTATGAAGGCACACCCAGAATATAAATGGTGTCCTACCACCAGCAAACCAGTTAAGAGACCATCCTGTCAGACAGTTTGTAGGTCACGCAAAAAAGTGTGGTCCTTCGCTTCAAATATATCTAAGGACTCTGCCAAAAAAAGGCCCAAAACTGATGTCCCACAATTGAACTTTGCCATGGCCGGTACGTATAAACAACACGAAAAGGATTTGTTTGTGTGTGTGTGTGTGTGTGTGTGTGTGTGTGTGTGTGTGCGTGTGTGTAAGCATTTCTATGACTGTCATTATCAGATCCAACTGAAATGGGTGGCCTCAGTATGCTGCTGTTAGCTGGAGAACATGCCCTCACAAACCGAGAGGTAAGTTATTGTTTTAAGTCACCTGGGAGTCATAAAGGTTTCCTAAAAATATGTACAGTTGTTGTCTAGCCCTGTATCTTAGCCGGTCTTAAGACTGTTGATGCTGAATTCTTTAAGTGAGAATGGCTTTGTCAGTTTGGTGGTGCAGGAGTGTTTTAGTCGGTGCTGTGGGAGTGGAGTGTTTTTGTCGGTCTACCTTTAGTCTTTTCTCTTTTTGGTGGATTCTCTATTGAGCAGCAGCTGTTGTGGAGCATTATAGGCTGTGATTGTAAAATGTTGCTGGATTGGAGCTGAAGGATCGTTCCAGATTCTTTGGATCAGACTCCATTACTTTTTTTGCTGTTTGTTTTCATGTCATTTCTGATGGGGTTGTTCGGTTAGGGAGGTCATGAGCTCCTCACCTGCTTTAATGGTGCTCTCAGCAAAGGTCTTCTGATATTACTTTTCTACCCACCCAAAAACCCAACTGTGCTTAGTTGGTGCTTAACAAATTCTTACGAAGAACGTGTTCGGTTTTCCACCGGCAAAGAGCCAAGGAGTAGCTACGTCATTACGTCACTGATTTGGTAGCACTGCCTAACTGCCTTTGATGATTTGATGCAGGTTCAGTCTTTTTTTTTTTTTTTTTTAATGTTTCCAGTGTTTGTGAAGGGATCAAGTAAAAATAATTCTGTGCTAATTGATAATGTAGGTGTCCATACACCTTCTCCTGGGTTATCCAGCCTGGGTTGATTAGGTCCTGACTCCACAGTTCCTTCCTCCTTAGCCACAGTCACCTTGAGGCATTTTCTGCTTCTTCAGTGCTGTGCCTGATAGCTTGCCTTTTATGGGGACATGTAATGCCCAAGAGATTGTAGGCTTTGCAGAGGGTGTGACCAGCAAATCCTCTACAGTCAACTTCAAAAGGCAGGCACCAAGTCTTGACCCCTGCCTGTGGCAATTCACCAGCTCAGTCTACTTGGCTCGCTTCCGCTCAGTCGCCTCTTCCACCTGAGACCATGAGACAGTGAGCTCCAGTATGACCAATTGTGTAGTTCCTTCTGAAAGGAAGGCCATGCCTGGTATCAGAGATGTTAATGTAATCGTGATGTATTTTATTAGCATTTTAATAATTTAACGGGGTGTAGCTGAAAACATACACATTTAAGCTATAGAGGTTTATTCACAACTAGAAAGTGAATATTAATGGCATCATAATACTAAATATAAACAACAGTAGCATCCGCAAGACAACTGTCATTCGGAAAGAGGGAGCTAAAACATGTTTTCTTATATTAGCAGTCATCGGGATCTGTGGCGCCTGACAGAAAATCGTGCAGACGATCTGCTCTCTTTCAGCTTGCCGAGGTAAGTATTCTCTTTTCCCATACCTGTGATTAAAGTCATTCTGAAGTCATGTTTTCAAGTCTTTTTCTTGTACTGTATGCAATTTTAGTCTATTTTTCTATTTTTTTTCTGTTGTTTGTTTCTTTGCTTTGCTTTGCTTTCTACCTCTCTAACTCTGTATCTGCTTTCAATGTACTTGAAATTATAGTATGTGAAGCATATGAAGTTTGTGTATAAAATGTTTCATAAATTAGTTTTTTTTTAAAATTTATTTATTTATTTTTTTTAACTGACTTGGTACTGGTAAATGTCTGAACAATGTGAAAAAGTTGTTCTTTTTAAGGCCCCTATATAATACCACCTCCCCCCTCGATTTGGGATCGTGATAAAAAGAGGGCTGCTGACGTGAATTGACACATACAGTATGGTGGATAATTATTCATAGTTCCATGAAAGTAAGAAATTACTGACAAATGGACGTTTTTGTTTCTGTTTAGATGTGTTTATCAACTGAAGCTGAGAAAATGGACACAGTCGTATCTCCACAAGGAACCACCTCGTCTTCATCCTCTTTCCAAAAAACTACAGCAAATAGTCTTCAGGTGAAGGAGGAGACCCTGGATAATTTTAGTTGCCCCCTAACCTCTCAGACATTTTTACCTTCTCCCACTTCAGTCACTTGCACTGACACAATTTCCTTTGAAGTTGACAGTCAAAATCAATGTGTCAAAAAGAAAAACGGACAGAAAGAGTGGTTCATGTTAAATAACATTGATGAAAGCCTGCATTCATCAAAGCAATTTCAACAAAAGCTTAAACCTGTCGAATCAAATGGCGATGTTAGCTTTGGAATTGAGACAGTGGCTGAAAATGTCTGGAGGGATTCAGAGAAGCCCAATGTGAAAATCCAAGATGTTTCAAGTGACTATGAGTCTTGTCCACCCAAAAACAAGACAAAGCCCAAAAATAAGACTTCTGTTAAAGACAAAGAACTAGTTGACCATAGTGGCAAATATGTGCTGCCCAGTGTCTCTAAGGTGGAAATAAAAGAAGAGATGAGCCCTATGACAGAAATAGAGGAAACAGGTAGAGAAAGCAAGGAAATTAAGGACAACATGGAGGGATGCCAAAAAGTCCCCGACAGGTCTTCACTTATGATGCTGAAAGAAGATGACAATAGGATGGAAAGCCCAAGTGAAGTAGAGTCCAATACAGAGGTCCGTGGTGCAAGGAAATCCGAGAGAAGCTGTAAAGGCGCCTTGTACAAGACCCTTGTTTCTGAAGGAATGCTGACCTCGTTGAGAGCCAATATTGACCGGGGTACTTCTTGTTTGACCAATACATATCCAAAATGTTCACAATTAGTCTTATGAACAATGTTGATAATATTCTGGTTTTATGTCTAGGTAAACGAAGCGGCTTTCGTGCTTCTGATTATGAAGCAAACTGGGGCGAGGATAGCTGGATGCTTTCTCAAATGGCATCTAATAGCAAGAGGCTAAAAAAGTCTAAGTCCAAAGATGATTCTTCACAAGGGTGAGTCACAGCTCTCAGATAATTCATGTTAACAGAACTTAAACTAAAAGCAGCAAAGACTATTTCGAAAGCCACACACTTGAGTTGCTGTCCTGCAGGGCTCTAGAACTCGAGTCTGGACTCAACACATATTTTTTTTTTGTCTCAGACTTGTCTTGGACTGGATTCCCAAACTATTTTTATCGACTCGACTCAGTCCAACAGATTTTATTCCTGAAAATCAATATCCTCTTTCAAAAGAAACTTGAAATTGTTGTTCATGTCATCAAAATAGCCATCTGATTTGGTTACCCTGACCGCAAGCGCCAAAGTTTATTGTTCATTTAGACCAGGGGTGCCCAAACCTTTTGGACCAAAGATCTACTTTTCGATCAACCAGCCACCCGCGATCAACCCATTACCGCGCATACGCACACACTTACACACGCATGCCATGATGAGCAACAGCCATAATGGTCCCTAAGATGAACAAAACAGAAAAATAAAGTAGATACAAGAGTTTGAGTTTTTGAAAAATATTACATGCCTACCTTAGTGGGAGACCTGACGCGGAGGCATGTGACACACTTGTGCAGCCTGTTAACTATCGTGGCTCACACGCCGTTTTAAAATGCTTTTCTCAGCACTACAGAATGTGTTCTTTGCAGTCAGTGCCATCGGTGAAATGTACACGAAACAAACTTTGACTGATCGCAATAATAATAATGAAAGCTATATCGTAACAGCTCTGATCGCAACCCGCAATTGCAGACTGCTAAGCGCTAACAACTTCCGGTGACGCAAGTCACCCGCCAGCGTAAGTTCAAGGTGATCTGCTTTATTATATTTTATTTTATTTATAAAATACTTTTTGTCAAAGTGAGACTGATGATTAGGGTGCAGTGTGCAGCACAAAAAATATATTACTAACATGTACAGAGACACACAAATGTTTAATAGTTATTGGGTTGTTTTTTTTACTGTAAACTTTCCCTCACAATCGACTTGGGACCAGTCCGCGAGCTACCGGTCAATCGCGATTGACATAATAGTCACCCCTGATTTAGACAGACACTTCAAAAATGTCAACCTTAAAAACAAAAACAACAGTTATCTTCATAAGCTGAACCAAACGATCATCATGCAGTGTTTATTGTGTATTCACAGAATCTCGGTGAGAATCGGACAACAAATCCTGTCTCAGCAATGCATTCATGTTAATTCATTAGCTTTCAGTTTGGTGCTGTTTTGTAGCTGCCTCTCACTGCACAGTGCCGTTAGCTGTTTCCCAGCGCCCAGTTTATCCCAATGTCGACTACCCCCTTAACATGGACTCGATAAAGATGGACTTGACTATAGCCCCGCTGTCCTATGAAATATTGCTCCGCGAAATTGTACAGAAATTGCAGTTCATGTTGTTTTGACTATTTCTACTTAAATTCTTGATACAAGCAGGTAGACATTGAAGTTATAAACAATTTTAATATTACATAGGTCGCTCAATCACATTCATTTTAGTGCACTCGAAAAATGTGCTTCAAGTAGCATCTCTTAGGCTCTACATTCTGCTCCAAGAATCACCGTTGAGAAATAGCCAGTTGCTTGTTGCTCTGTTTCCCTTTAGTTATATGGTCACTTGGTCAGTTATGTTAACACAAATCTCACCTCAACAGAAAACTCGAAGAAGAATTTGAAAAGAAGTTTAACAGCCTGCCACAGTATAGTCCAACAACATTTGATAGGAAGGGGCCTTCTGTCATAAAGAGAAAGAAGACTGATTGTTCTTCTGCCCACGTGGAGATATCCAAAACAGGCAAAGGTGAGGACAAAACATCATGAATATGTAACCGTTTTTCCAGCGCATACTGTATAAGCGGGACTTCTAATTTGTTTTATTAGAACAGTAAATTCCTGTTGTAAATATTTGCATTTTCCTAACATTTTCTCTATTAGTGATCACTACTTTGTCAATAAATGCAGAAACTACGGTGGTGTAAATTCACATTTTGTTGTGTAAGTTCTAACACAGAAATATAGCGTTCGACCGAATCCTCCAATGTCACAGTCAGATAAATGTCATATTTTCTTTTCACAAATCTATAGTATTTGTGAGCAGTGCCGTTTTTGAAATGTGGTGAAAAGTGATGATTTTGGAGGAACAATAATTCTGCATGACGGCAACAATATGCATGTTACAGTGCAGTTGACCCCCGCTTCCCTGATTTCTGTTTTTTTTTTTGTTTTCTTTTGTTTTTGCTGATCTATCACACACAAAAGTTTCAAATCATCAAACCAATTTTAATATCACTCAAAAACTATCCAAGGAAATATAAAAGGCAGTTTTCAAAGGATTAAATTTAAGGCACAACAAAAAATCAAATTCTTTCTGACCCTCTGTGAAAAAGTTAGTGTCCTACCCTTGTTAAATCTCAAAGTCACTGTGACTAGCCACAAGTTTGGCAAAGGTGACTTCAATTTCACAAGCCACACCAAAACCTGATTACTTGTTGAATAAAAAAATATTTTAAATAGAATCTATCAGAGAACGTGAAGTAGGCTACAAGATCTCAAGAACTAAAGCATCATGCCATGATCCAAAGAAATTGAAGAAGAAATGAGAAAAAAGTAATTTGAAATCCATCAGTCTGGAAAATCTTACAGAGCCATTACCAAGGCTTTAGCACTCCAGCGAACCACTGTCAGAGCTATTATCCACAAATGGAGAAAATTGGGAACAGTGGCAAACCTTCCCAGAAGTGGACAACCAACTAAAATTACTTCAACATTGCGACGCCGACTCATTCAGGAGGTCACAAAAGAACCTCGAACAATCTCCAAATACCTGCAGGCCTCGCAGGCCTCAGTTAAGTTCAGTGTTGATAACTCTACCATAAGAAAGACACTGGCCAAAAATGGCATCCATTGGAGAGTTCCCAGGTGAAAACCCCTGCTGTCAGCAAAGAATACAAAGGCTCGTCTCATATTTGACAAAAAAACATCTTGATGATCATCAAGACTTTTGGAGAAACATTCTGTGGACTGACTAGTCAAAAATGTAACTTTTTGAACGTTGTGCGACCTGTTAAAACTGCCCAGAAATGGCATAGTATTTGATAAAAATAACATTATGCCAACAATGACGCAAGGTGGTGCCAGTGCGATGGTCGGGGGCTGCTTACCTGCTTCAGGACCAGGACAACTCGCTGTGAGTGATGCACCAATGAATTCTGCCGTGTACCAGAAAATCCTCAAGAAGAATGTCTGGCCATCAGTTTGTGCCTTCAAACTCAAGCCCGCTTGTATCATGTAGTTGGACAATGAGCCGAAACACAGCATCAAGTCCACCTCTGAATGGCTCAAAAAGAAAACAAAATTAAGGTTTTGGAGTGGCCAAGTCAAAGTCCGGATTAAAATCCAATTGAGATGCTGTGGTGTGAGAAAACTCTCCAATATGGTGGAGGTGAAGCAATTCTGCAAAGAAGAGTGGGACAAAATTCCTCCAGAGGAATGTGAAAGACTCATCACCGATTATCGCAAACGCTTGATTTCAGTTAGCCAAGGGTGGCACAACCCCTTATTAGGTTCAGGGGTCAATTCGTTTTTCACAGAGGATCAGAAAGTTTTGGATTTTCTTACGCCTCAATAAATTTAATTGTCATTTGAATAACGCATTTTGTATTTCCTTGGGTTGTTTCTGAATGATATTATAATTGGTTTGATGATTTCAAACCTTTGTGTGTGACAGATATACAAAGAAAACAAAAATCAGGAGATGGGCAATTACTTTTTCATTGCACTGTATCCCGATTAAAAAAATAAATATAAAATTCATTTTTAGGCCAACTGTGCCCTTATTATGAGCAAATGTCGTGTCACCCGCATGTTGTGGGTATCGACAGTGGAATTTGCAGTTCATTGAATGTCTCCCTGAAATACCTCAGCCAGGTTGAACTTTTGCAGCCACTCATCGTGAAAAACGACTATTTTTTTATCGCAACCTTTTCCTCAAAAAATGAGTCAGACTCATCATCAAGAATTGTCTCATTTGGCACACTAGGTTTGGCCATTCACTGTTTTCATCCCTCAAATTCTGTACATTGTGTCTCAGCCAAAGCAAACACACACACCACTAAAAAAGCCCCCAAACGACAGTAAAATGTTACATATTGAGTATTAAATTCAGTGAAATCGTATAATGACCTAAATTCCAACCTAATTTCAACAATGGTCCAATTAGTGTAATTTGGGGAAAGAAATATGTATCAATATACATATTTTTCATTTATGTCGGACAATTATGTTGGTATTGTAATTTTCCTTAAAATTACATGAAACTTGTTTTCTCTGATCATTTCTCCATTTAGTAATAAAACAAGTACAGTGGAACCAGAGGTTACGAGCGACTCATAGAAAAATTACGCTTAAGTACCCCGCTGCTCCGCTGTGTGCCACTCAGTGTGTACTGTATTTGCTATGTCCACTACTGTGCTGGGTGACATGCAGAGGTCAAATTGTGTGTAAGTGTGTACGTAACAAATAAAGATGATGATGATGATTCTTCTTCATCTTCTTCCTCTTGTAGGTGGAAGTTTCACCTCAGCGTCCTCGAATCACAAATCAAAGAGCAGTGCATGTTCTTTAGTGAATTGTGGCGTCTATTTAATTAAGACGATACCTAAGGTTGGCGGAGTCACTTCAAAATCGGTCTCTACGCATGTGTCAAGACATAAGTTCGGCACAAGTTCCGCCTCCACACATTCACCCAATTAGGATACTGTATCTTTTTTTTTTCTTCTCTATTACACAACAAAATTGAGCTGGAGATAGCATGAGTGAAGCCATCAAATAATGATCAAAAGAAATATGAAGCAAATTAGCCACCGGAGTAATTAGTTGTCGAAAACATAACGTGACATCCCATTTTCCGATTTTTTTTTTCTCTCAGTAGAAAAAGACAGGTTTCGGTTTGTTGGGCTGAAATCTACTAATGAATTTGAGAAGAAACTGACAAAAAGGAAAAAAACAACTGGATCAGAATTTCCATGTGTTATGGACGAAGACTCTTCTTCATTGAGAAAGCTGCAGTCCTCATCCTCTTTTTTCCCCCATGGTTTATGAACCGGGAATGTTTTCACTCAAGGTTCCAATGTATTTAAATTAGATGAAATATTAATGAACTCAAAGATAAAAGTACAATGAATATGTAGAAGTACCAGTCAAAATATCTGGTAGTACAACCAGTTTTCAAGCTACCATATTTTCCGAACTATAAGTTGCTCCTGAGTATAAGTCGCACCAGCCATAAAATGCGTACTAAATAAGAACAATACATATATAAGTCCCACTGGAGTATAAGTCGCATTTTGGGGGGAAATTTATTTAATAAAATCCAACACCAAGAACAGGCATGTCATCCTGAAAGGCAAATAAAAATGGAGAACAACATGCTGAATAAGTGTACGATATGCTAACGTTACATAACGCATAAAATATGAACTGAGAACGTGCCTGGTATGTTCACATAACATAATATGAGTTATTCAGATAACTAAAGCATAAAGAACATGCTAACAAGTTTACCAAACATTCATTGTCACTCCTAATCACTAAATCCAATGAAATCTTCATCCTCGCTGTCACTTTTAAAGAACTCTGCCAACTCCAGAGGTAGAAGATGCGACGCTTTCTCTTCTACGTCGCTTACGTCAATTTTTATCAGTTACCACCAACGAGGAAAGTATCAACACAGGCCTAGAGCACCCGCTCGCGGTTTAATGTGAAAATAACCTGTGAAATAATAAAATGTGCTAATCATTTCACGCCTAAGTCGCTCCAGAGAGTAAATCGCAACCCCGGCCAAACTATGAAAAAAAAAGTGATTTATAATCCGGAAAATACAGCATATACAATGTTGTGTATATTGTAATGTCGTGTAATGTTTTCATCCATGTTCCTCTAGCTGAGCTGTAAACCAGTATTTGTGGGTGAAGTAGTAGTGTTGCTCCAGTTTCATTAATCTTAAGTCATTTCGATGCCAGATGTGCAGGGTAAAAGTCACTCTGCACTTAAAACCTCAGGATCACATCTTAGAGCGCATGTACGATTGTGGTAATTCATTGCAGTCCTGGCTGAAATTTGAACTTTTGTTACCACCGTGCCCAGGTTTTAGATTGAGTGCGCTAACCTGACTAAGAGCCCGGGTTGCTAACACACTGGCTGACGCTACGCTTAAGGCTATTGAAGAGTGAGGTTTAACATACTTTTGCACAATGCATGCTGGCACCTGTTACAACGACCAATGCAACGATAAGAGTTGCCTCATTAGCACATCAGCTCTGCGACACTTTTCAAGGCATGACCAATCAAACAACGTTTAATCCTCGATCATAAATCGATTAGTCAAACCTAGAAAGTAAGGCACAAGGATGAACTAATTGAAAAGCTTCCATTGTTGTGTTATCGCTCATTTGTCCACGATAGCTGACTGGGTTGAACTTTGCCCCACTAGTTAGCAGCAAAACAGATTTGATATTCCTAAACTAAAAAATGTCAAGTAGATGAAAGATATATTTGCACTGTCTTAAAATTTAAGGGAAAGATGCGATTATTTCAGGGCATTCTTGAGCCTTATAGACATGAGTCAGTCTTTAGCGGCATGTTTTCCACCATCATGTCGTCTATGATTTGTGTGCTCCGTAACATAGCATGTACATTCATTTTTGTTTGTTTGTATTTTTTCTGTATTAGGACCATCTCCATCACAGAAAAAGACTTCATTCCACAAGATTGTTAGGAAGCACAAATACTTAAAGGAGAAACCAGGTGCAGTAGAAAATTGTGATCTCAAATCTTGATAGCGGGGATATCAACATCATCAAGAAACTGACCAAATTTTAGTCCAATAATCTGATTACTTTGTGTAGAAATAAAATTGTGTAACTTTCTAATGAGACCCTTTTCAACAGCAGTGGGACAGACGGATTCCACCATGTTGTTTTCTGTTTCAAAAGCCAAATCATGTGCCACCAGTGCCATAATTTGCTCAGATGTGCAAGGCACCACTAGTGTCGATATGCTAGTTGGTAGCCAGAAGAGGAAGGCTAGGAAGACTAAGATCACACACTTGGTTCGCACAGCTGACGGCAGTGCATCTCTGCTTGAGGGTAAGTATCATGATCAGTCCTCTTAGCCATAACGCATATACATTTCCTGTACGGTATTGACTGTCTGATCTAACATCGACAATTCAGCTTCATAAAAACGTTTAGCACTGATGATGTGTGCAATAACTTTTGTTTGCTGTGGACAAAAGTGATGGTATACTCCTTTGGCGGTTACCAAAACCAGCTTTCCTCTGCCATATCAGCCGAAGTATTAAGGGTGAGCAGACTCTTCATTAAAAGGGATTGCGATCAATTAGGAGTAATCACCAGTTTTGGTTGGTTTGTCAAAACCTTTCCCCAGGTTGTAGCTACATAGGTTCACGGGTGAGAGATGACGATCATATGCAGACCCAAGTTGATAAAACCAAAGTAAACAAAAGACCTTGTTTCGGATTTGTTGGTCGCCTACCACTGAATGAATGATTTATTTGTTTGTAGTGCGTTTTATACAGTGGCTTGAGAAAGTTTTCGTCCCCTTGAACTTTTTGCTACAATTCAGGCTTCAAAGTTATAAAATCAGAGTTTTTATGAAGATTCAAAACCAAGTGGGACACAATCATGAAGTGGAATGACATTCATACAATATTTTACTTACATTTTTTTTTTAAGAAATTTAAAAAAATATATAAGTAGGGCGTGCAGTATTATTTGGCCCCTTGACTCTTAAGTGCACCCAGCTCACTCCAGGCTCTTCTGCATATCTGATAAAGCACTTCTTTCTCAACCAGGTATCAGGCAACCAACCACCAGGGTTAATAGTTAAAGCTTCAGCGAAGATGTGACTCGACTTTTTCCTGTCTGGTTGCCACAGCGAGACACTCAGACACTCATATGATATGTTTGGTTCTCAATGAAAAACCCATCTATTTTATCTGGGGACTCACCTGGAGGTTACTGTTTTCCCTGACTGGGGTATGACCGACTGAACCACTGAGCATTTTGCTTGGCCAGCCGGTACCCGTCAATTGCCTCCGGAGTCTCACAGGCCAAAAAGGCCCAGTAGGACTCTTTGTTCGGCTTGACAGCATCCCTTACCACCAGTGTCCACCTGTGGGTTCGAGGATTGCCACCATGACATGCACCGACCACCTAACTGCCAAAGCTCAGATCAGCTGCCTTAATACAGGACAAAACATGTTTCACTTGGACTCAATGTCCCCTACGTCACCTGGGACGTCAACAAAGTTCTCCCGGAGGTGAAACTCTATGACTGGGTGTTCTGCTTGATGTTCTCAGCAAACTCTCACAATACATTTGCGTCTACCAGGTCGGACTGGCATCTTTCCCCACCGTCGGAGCCAGCACAACACCAGGTGGTGATTAGTTATAGCTCCGCCCCTCTTTTCACCCGAGTGTCGAAAACATGCGGCCACAAATCCAATGACACAACTACAAAGTTGATGATCATCAACCTGTGTCCTAGTGTCCTGGTGCCAAGTCTACATATGGACACCCATAAGTTGGAACACGGTGTATGTTATGGACAATCTGTGATGAGCACAGAAGTCGAGTAACAGAACACCACTCGGGTTCAGATCGGGGTGGCCGTTCCTCCCAGTCACACCCTTCTCTGGTCTCACCAGCATTGGGCACTTGGGCATTGAAACCCCCAGCAAAACAATGGCGTCCCCAGGGGGGTACTCTTCAGCGTACCTTCCAAGGACTCCAAAAAGTGTGGCACCTCCGAACTGCTGTTTGGTGCATAGGCACAAACCACAGTTAAGACCGAACCCCCTACCCGAAGGCGATGCGGGGCTACTCTCTCATCCACCTATGTTAACCTAAACGTACAGTCACGAAGCTTTGGGGCAATAACTATGCCCACACATCTGCTCCGCAACTCTCACCGTGGGCAACTCCAGAGTCGAAGAGTGTCCAACCCCACTCAAGAGGACTGGTACGAGAGCCCAAGCTGTGCGTGGAGGTGAGCCTTACAATATCTAGTCGGAAGTTCTCTGCCTTGCACACCAGCTTGGGCCCCTTCACTACCAGAGAAGTGACGTTCCATGTCGCTAGAGCTAGTTTCTGTCGCCAGAGATCGGACTGCCTTATGCAGCCACCAGGTGCTTGCCAGGGACCCCCACCTACAGGCCTGGCTTCAGAGGAGGGACCCAGTGACCGATGTCCGGGCAAGGGAAATCGTGGACAAATAATTTTACTCATCATAAGGGGTCCCCGAGTTGTGCTCTGTCTGGCCCCTCACCTAGGACTTGTTTTCCAGGGGTGATCACAGGCATAAAGCCCCAGACAACAGCTCCTGTGATCATTGGGATATGTAAGCCCCTCCACCACAGTAAAGTACCCACCGGCTCATGGGAGGGGCTTGCATGGATGGCACCATGTATGTGTACAAACTTGATAAAGTCCTCTTTGGATTGGAAGACAGTTGCTGTTGATATCCAAAAACTTTATAGCTTGTAGAAAAGAGCATGCACTATTTGGTCAGCTCGCTTTAACTCTTTCATGCACCCTGTAACTTGATAATACAGGGTGTCCATAAAGTCTTTTTACCATTTCAAAAATTTATTAAAAATGCAATTGATTAGATATTTTATTCAGATTTGTTCTATTGTATTCAGTGTTTATTCAAGTTTTTTTTATCACACTGCATTTGTGTGTGTATCATGTGCAAACGAATACCGTAAATTCCGGGCTACAGACCGCACCTGATTAAGAGCCGCATTCTCAGATTTATGAAGAAAAATCAATTTTGTAATGATATGCGCCGCACCGTACTATAAACCGCTGGCCAATGAGTAGGCGGGGGTTTGCTTCTGCGTCCCTGCCGCCTGGAGCCGCCTCCGGGTGAGGCCGCGGATGCGGTCCCCCGCTGAACCCCCGCAGAAAAAAAACGCAAAATTTCTTAAGGTTAAAATAATCTCCATATTTTTATGAGCATGATAAATGCATTTTCACAACGAAATTACGCTGAAACACATAATAAGAGGCCAGACAAAGAGAGATCTCGCCGCTGAACCCCCGCAGAAAAAAAACACAACATTTCTTAAGGTTAAAATAATCTCCATATTTTTATGAGCATGATAAATGCATTTGCACAACGAAATTACGCTGAAACACATAATAAGAGGCCAGACAAAGAGAGATCTCGCCGCTGAACCCCCGCAGAAAAAAAACACAACATTTCTTAAGGTTAAAATAATCTCCATATTTTTATGAGCATGATAAATGCATTTGCACAACGAAATTACGCTGAAACACATAATAAGAGGCCAGACAAAGAGAGATCTCGCCGCTGAACCCCCGCAGAAAAAAAACACAACATTTCTTAAGGTTAAAATAATCTCCATATTTTTATGAGCATGATAAATGCATTTGCACAACGAAATTACGCTGAAACACATAATAAGAGGCCAGACAAAGAGATCTCGATGCGCATTTGTGTAATTACGAGGAGAAATACTGCAGCCCACTAGGCTTTAAATAGAATAATGCAGTCACCTTTTTTATTTACAGTCCGAGTGAGAGGCAAATCAAATGTCAGAGGGTCTTCGTCCATATTTATTATTTCATCTGGGCTGATGGAATTCTCCGCTATCTTTGTTTGTGTGAATGTGCGGAACGAAGCAAGTTTGTCCTCATAATTGGGAGGGAGCTGCTGACACAACGTCGTGCGTGCCCTAATAGACAGGCTTCCATTTCATGAATCTAGGTTACATTAACCGACAATTTTCCATCATTGACGGATTTTTTTTCAGAGTGGACGGGGAAAATTTAAGGCCGTCCGTCATTTTGACGGGCTGGAAATAGGGCCGTAAACCACAACAGCAGTACGTCCTTAAGAATCTAGCGCGGCACTTTAAGAGAGAGAAGCAGAGACAAAGACGAACAATGACGGGTGGATCATCGAGACATGAAGGAGTTTTTTGAATTGTCATTGCAAGAATTTAGTACAGTACGTGTTGTGATAAGGCCACTTTTTTTTTTTTTTTTTGCGAACAACGGTCTCTCGTGGCCAAAACTATTCACGGCCTCGAAACTAAAAAAAAAAAAAAGTCAGCGAGAGAGAAGCCCAACCCGAACCCGAAGCAATCATTGATATTTTAGGGCCCGAATTTCGGGTTGGGTCGAGGGCGACCCGATTTTACCATTTCATGAATCTATAACACGACAACGGCCCACCTTTAAAACCTTTAAAAGCTTTGGTTGTCTTTTTACACTGGCTCAGTTATTCTTGCAGGAGTCTCGACCTTCGCACCATCGACTCGTCTGTGCCAAGATTACGGGCAGCAGCTCGATTTCCTTCTTTAACTGCCAGAGTGATCGCTTTTAGTTTAAAAGCTGCATCATATGCTTTTCGTCTGGTATTCTCCATGTTGATCAGGGTTAGAAGAAAGACTGAAATAAGGAAGTTGTGATTACCGGTAATCATACAATTTCATTGGACCCCTGTGTACTACTCATTCATTTTATTGGTCGACTGTTGCCGAGTAACACATTCCCCTCGCCCCCTACGGCAAAAAGAGCGGAAGTTGTGATTAGTCATACAATCTCATTGGACCTCAGTATACAATCTCATTGGACCTCAGTGAAAGACTGATTCATTTTATTGGTCCATGTTTTTCCCGCGATGGAAAAAAAAAATTAAAAAGCCGCTTCATATTATACGCCGCAGTGTTGAAAGTGTGGAAAAAAAGTAGCGGCTTGTAATCCGGAATTTACGGTAATTGGTCAATTTTTCTTCAACGAGACATAAATTTCTGCAAATGTTTACCTTGAACTTTTAACTGAATATGTGGCACCACAACTGAATGACCTTCAACCAACCATCATTTTTCAGCAAAATGGTGCACCACCACATTGAGGGCTGCATGTTCGTGGGTTCCTCAATCAAACATTCCAAGACCGGTGGATTGGAAGGGATGGGCCAATTCCTTGGCCGCCACGTTCACCAGATATCACTCCCCTGGACTTCTTTCTATGGGGCTATGTTAAACATATTGTATATCGGACAAAGATAAGGGACATTACTGACCTAAAGC